CTCTTGGTTGCCCTCCTCTGCACACCTTCCAGTTTGTCAACATCCATCTTAAATTGTGGTGCCCAGAATTGGACACAGTTTTCCAAGTGTGGTCTGACTATGGCAGAATAGAGTTGGACTATGACTTCCCTTGATCTGGACACTATACTTCTGTTGATGCAGCCTAGTTTTGTTTGTTTGTTTGTTTTTGTTTGTTTTTGTTGCTGCATTGTACTATTGACTCATTTAGCTTATGGTCCACCAAGACCCCTAGATTCTTTTCACATGTACTGCAAGTAATCCAGGTGCCCCCCATCCTATATTTGTGTATCTGGTTCTTCCTGCCTAAGTGCAGAACCTTACATTTGTCTCCATTGAAATTCATTTTGTTAGCTTGTGCCCAGTTCTCCAATCTCTTAAGGTCATTTTGAAGTCTGATTCTGTTTTCCGCAGCATTAGCTACCCCTCCCAGTTTGGTGTCATCTGCAAATCTGATGAGCATCCCTTCAATTGTTTCATCCAAGTCGCTTCATAAAGACGCTGAACAACAATGGGCCCAAAACAAAACCCTGCGGCACCCCCCTTGTCACTTTTTTCCAGGATGATGAGGAACCATTAATGAGTACTCTTAGGGTTCGGTCAGTCAACCAGCTACAAATCCACCTAACAGTCACCTTGTTCAACCCACATTTTACCAGCTTCCTTGTGAGAATATGAAAACCCTTACTGAAATAAAGTTACACTATGTCCACAGCATTTCCCTGATCCACCAAGTTTGTAATTCCATCAAAAAAAAGAAATCAGATTGATCTGGCATGACTTATTTTTGAGAAACCCATGCTGGCTCTTAGTAATCACAGCATCGTTTTCTAAATGCTCACAGTTGAATTATCTGTTCTAGGAGCTTCCATGGTATCAATGTCAAACTCACTGGTCAATAGTTACCTGGGTTTTCCTTTTTTCTCTTTCTGAAGATGGGGACAAAATTTGTCTGCCTCCAGTCTGTAGGGACATCATCTGTTCTCCAAGAATTCTCCAAGATATTCTCAAATTACATCTGCAAGCTCTTTTAGTACCTTGGATGCAGCTCATCAGGCCCTGGAGATTTGAATTCATTTAAAGTAACTAGGTGTTCCCTTACTACCTCTTTTCCTATCTTGGGTTGCAGCTCCCTTCTTAAATCATTCATTCTGTTATCACCAGGTTGGGCATCACTTTCCTTTTAGATGAAGACAGAGGCAAAGTAGGTGTTGAGTAGTTCCACCTTTTCTCTGTCACCCAATAGCATTTATCCATGTTCCCCCTGGAGAGGACCTACCACTTGCTTGTTCCTCCTCTTCCTTCAGACATTTCCTCCTGGTCATGTACAAAAGTTATTAGAGGAAACACACAAAACTGCTGTATTTTAAGCACAGAACTCTTTGAATTTATGTATTGCATTTATGGAAGCCCGAAGGGGGAATAAAGCCCCAAATCAATAAATATGTGTGGGTGTGGAGGCTATGTGATACCTTCCTGCATTTATGAGCATTTTGGAAGCATGATAACTTTGAACACCTGTTATTGTTGTAGTTGAGCTGGTCTAGGAGCTCCAATGCCAAGAGAAGAGGGAGGGAGGTTTCAATGTCTTATCTAGAACATTATGCTAGCTCTGAGACACTTGGCTGCTCCTTACCAAAAAAGAAAAAAGAAAAGTGGACAGCAAGAGGGCAGCAAAGGATTAGAATTATAATTAAGTCGACTGTTATAAATAGCTGTAGTCAATTAATCATCTGGCTTCTAAATGGTTACTCAATGAAATGTAAAAAAGCGCATCATATCCAAAAATGTATATTATTGCTCAAATTATCACAGAGCTGGTAACAGAAGAAACAGAACTTCGCTAGAGGCTGCCTCACAGAATAACTCTAGTTTGCCACTTTCCCTTCATTGTACAGCTGAGCTTGCTCCAATTGTACAACCCGACCACTGATTAAATTGAAAGAAGTGAGAGGGCTAAAACCACCACCACAACAGCAACAGTGCATTGGAGAACTTCTACAAAGACAATTCCCCTCAAAAACATCTGCAGTGGTTTTGTAGCAGAGCCAGAAAAAGGCAACATCTCCAAGATCCCAGACTGGGAAATGGTTTCTCCTCTGTAAATGACGAAAAGCTCTGCACCCGAACCCCACACCAAAACCAGAGATGAGGCCCCCACAGTTTATCCCATGCATTCCTTCCACTTATCTATCATCTGCCCACCTCTGTTGGACACTTACGGCAGGTGTGAAGCAGGTGGATGTTGAGACTAGGAAGGAATCAGTGTTGGCTTTCTCAGGGAATTTATATATAGAGTGCTGATCTAGGATTGCAACCTAGCCACAGTAGTTGGGAGGTTAGTGTGAGAACCTGCTTTCCTCTGAACATTACAGCATGGAATCTAGTTCCACCGTCCCCAACCTGGTGCTCTACAGATGTTTTGGACTGAAGCTCCAATGAACCTTGGCCAACCAAGTCATCAGGCTGGGGAAGACAGACCTAGGTTTGAAACAGTCGAGTGGAATGTGTGGTCCAGCCAGAGCTGCAGATGAATTCATAGAGAGGGAGCTTTTGAAGCAAGCCTCACTGAAATCAGAGGAATTTCCCCCTTGCCTGGAAGCTATGTTGATGGTGGGTTGCTTAAGTTCCGTTGCTAATAAGAGAGCTCTCTGAACGGCTGCTAAGGCAAATTGTGGAAACCTATAAACCGTTAGTTCACCGCATATCACATTCGAGGAGTGTCAATATCTGTGAAGATCAAAAAGAATCAATGATCCATTGTTGTACTGCTGCCAGAGACAAGAACTCTTACATCTATATTCACAAAAAATAACAATGAATGAACAAGGGCAATGTCGATCTAACCCTCAGTAATGGGGATATCCGTTACAGATGACAAAAGGAAAAAATGCACTGCCTAAAGGAATAGAACAAAGAATCTAAAACCTAGAATAATGCCCACCATTGTTTATCAGAGACATTAAATCAACTGCAGAAAAATAGGGTATTTGCTCAGTTGAAAAGCAATTTATGAAATATGTGCATAATTTGTTCAGGTACTGATAAAATTGCCAAATATAGGAATTAGGAGGGATAATTACTATTATTATTTTTAGGTACAGGCTACATGAAGATAATTTAAAAAAGTATGTTCTAATATGAAACCGATTCCTCGTATATATGGGGACTACAGGAAAAGAAGGAACAACACCTACCTCTATGGGGCTACAGAAATTCTGCAGGGGATTATTATAATTTGTGCTCATAAAACATAACACTATAAAGCATTTTGCAATTTGTACGCTTGGTGCATGCCACTGCAACAGACCTGTACATTTTCTTTTTCCTGTTTCTTTACATATTTAGCATGCCATTTAGAAGCCTACACATAATGGCCGAAAGTAATCGAGACCAGGAATTAGACAGGACTGGTGCCAAAGAAGGTTTTATTTTTTATTTTTTTAAATAATTTTTATTAACCGGCCAATCAAATCACATCACATAAATTCCGAATTACAAAGCCGAATTTTAAATTTTGTTGAGGGGACCCATATTCAAGATCTGAAGGGGGATTCTGATCATCTTCTTGCTACTGCGTTAATGTCCAAATCAGTCCAAACAAAGTTCATAATTCTATCCAGTCTTATCTTGCTGTTTCCACATCACATCTTGTTCATATATTTTCTCGAAGAAGGTTTTAGTCAAGCTTCACACTTGTCCTTTATGAACATGAAGGCTGGCTTATACTAGTGCTGTGCCAAATGTTGTTATCACCACCTAAAAAGGCGGCTTCTTGTCTTTATCTCTTTCTCAGAGTATGAGAACTTCAGGGAGAACTGATGAATGACCACCCATCATCCCTGTACAGGGAAAATATCAAATATAATAGAATAATTACAGGTTTTTCTCTGGGCTGAAAGCATGCCCTATAGAGCAATGCTGATAAATCCCTACTGACTATGCCAGCACAGAAAGTCCCTATTGACTGAATAAGAACAGTAGGTTTGATTGTGCCCCTGGGAAGGGAAAATGTTAAATGTGCTTAAATGATTACTGATTCTGCATAAAGTGACCAAATAACTGTGTGTCAACAACTTAGAGGTTGATTTCGCCCCAAGATTTTCTTTTTTTAAAAAAAAGCTTGATAACTTTGAAATCTTTCCGTGTGCTCTGGTTTCCGTCATGGTGTTCCATTGCGCCAGAAGCAATGTAGTCATGCTGGCCACATGAGCCTGAAAGCTGTCTGTGGACAAATGCCGGCTCCCTCAGCCTGAAATCAAGATGAGCACCGCAACCCCATAGTCACCTTTGAGTGGACTTAACCGTCCAGGGGTCCTTTACCTTTTTACATTCTTTTATTTCAGCAAACTGGCTCACTTATATGTCAAACAAAGCTTTAATAATAAAGAAAATGGCAACACAACAGCATGCTGCCTGAGAGAAACTAAAACAACAGCATGAGGCAAGAAGCAAGAAAGACAGTTGGCCTCTCTAATTTAACTTTACTGAACACCTGAAGGGAGGGGCTGATTCCAGAGCACAACACAGAAGCCCCGCCCACCAGATGCCAGACTTCTACTAACCAAATTAGTCTCCAGTGTTTTCCTTACAATTAGGTAAAGGTAAAGGGACCCCTGAAAATTAGGTCCAGTCATGGCCAACTCTGGGGTTGCGGCACTCATCTCGCTTTATTGGCCGAGGGAGCTGGCGTACAACTTTCGGGTCATGTGGCCAGCATGACTAAGCTGCTTCTGGCGAACCAGAGCAGCGCACGGAAACGCCGTTTACCTTCCCGCCGGAGCGGTACCTATTTATCTACTTGCACTTTGACGTGCTTTTGAACTGCTAGGTTGGCAGGAGCAGGGACCGAGCAACAGGAGCTCACCCCATCACAGGGATTTGAACCACCGACCTTCTGATCGGCAAATCCTAGGCTCTGTGGTTTAACCCACAACGCCACCCGTGTCCCATTCCTTACAATTACATCACAGCTATTAAATTCATTGTGTGTGTGTGTGTGTGTGTGTGTGTGTGAATCTCTCTCTCTCTCTCTCTCTCTCTCTCTCTCCATATAGACACACACACACACACACACACACAGCGCCAGGCCTGGTACAAGGCAAATGTTGGGACCACACGACAGGTGATGGTTGGAGGGGGTTCACCACTACCTAAGTCCTTTGCTCTTGTTTCCCCCTTCAAGGCAATAGCCATGCCTTTTGCTCATAAAATGTAAAAACAGGAATTTTCAATCAATTTCATTTCAGGAAAAATGTAGCCATTGAGGGAACTATCCAGCCAAGGGACCCACAAGCTGTTGAGCTCTGCCTCTTCCAAGTGTAATGTAATGAATATTTTTTAATGTAATGATGTGTATACCAATGCGAACCATTCCTAAGTATCAGTTATGTATTTAAAAAAATGCATTGAAATGAAATCTCTGATGCTTTCAAAGCAAAGCTCTTGTGCTATCTGTATAATGTTGACAGCGGGCCAGTCGTCTTACTTTCAATCCCAAATCTTTATCTCTGTGGCATCTTTATAATGAGCAAATATTGTTTTTAGTCTGTGTAAGTCTCATTTCTTGGCAGAGAGATAGTGAAACAAAATGCTACTACTTGGGAATAAAGTTCATTAGCACTGATGGAATGCTTCCCATTGGCTATAATGGGAATTAAATTGGGCTTCAAAAGAGCAAATTACAGAGAGATGCAGCAGGATTACAGTGCAAAACTTTTACAAAGAGGGAAAGAAGCTATTGAAGTTGAATCTTCTGACGTTTCTGCATAGGTCATTAAGGAATCTCAAGAGTTCTCTCCTCTGTTGGGGTGGGGGGAAATTGCTTGAAATAATATCATTCCAATGGGATAGGGACCTAGAAACACATCTCAGCCTGTGTTTTGTGTTGCGATCTGAGCTGATCATGTAAAAGCCCTTTCAGTTTTCTCTCTGTACACTGGGGGAAAAAATCCTTCCTGTTCTGCCTCACAATGGGAGAGCTTTTGTATGCCCTGCATTTTACAAAATTCAGTCTATTTTGATGCCCATTTGAAATCTCAAATCCTTTTGAAAATATCGCTTTGATTTTGAGCACTGAACATCTGACAATGCTATGCTCATTTTTATATTAATCCCCTAGTATATCTTTGTTGTGAACTGGAGACACAGAGTTGCTAGAAAATGAGAGGTTATCCAATGAGACCGAAACAGCAAAGATGTACTTATTCTGGTTGTCAGTAATTGGGGGGGGGGATGAATTGCTGAACAGAGTCAATGTTGTGCAGAATTACCTGGCTGAAAAATCACAATAGGAGCATTATTACTTGCAACTGACCATACAGCCAACACCGTTTCCCATAGCACATTAGCTTAGTCTGGGTACAAATGACCTCTCAAAATTCTCCATCTGCAAGAGCTTTGCTTGTTGGGATTCTAACTCCATGAGATGGTTCTAGGAGCTTCCGAAAAGGTTTTTAATGCAACAGCCCTCATTGACTTCATCAACTTGTATTCTGATATATTCTGCACTAGGAAAGAGGCTAGATTTAGCTAAAATGGTTTATAATTGTTAACAAGCCGTAAATTTATCTAATCCTTAAAAGAAAAGTCATAGGGATGATCAGTGCATCTTGCGGTAAGGAATTCTGTCAGTTAATTATAAACTAATTGAAGAAGTCCTTCCCTTTCTCTTTTTTATCTGCCAGTCAATGTCTTTGGGTGACCCCAGATTGGAGTTTTATTTCCTTAGGGCTTTGTACTGCTTATGAATATCACTGAATATGACATGCAGACAGATTTCTTCCTCCCAAATATGAAATATATATATATAATTGAGAAAGGTGTGAGGAGGGGGGAATAAAAAAAATTCTGAATAGTCTCTGGCATGGCTTATTTGCAGACAGATTACTGAGCAAAAGCTTATTTTCTGACTGAAATACCTAAAAGTTCTGGAACTTTGTGGGAAAGAAAACTTTTGGAAAGTCACCCAGGAGTTGGCTGGATATATAGGATAAACTCTGAAGATGATAATCTTTTAATTTACAAATTGCACAAAGATAGAGGCAATGCTAGTATTGCCGGAAAAACTTGCTAATGCCAAAACCCAGGAGCTACAAGTGACTTTGAGGAAAGACTGAGAACTGTGACTGATTGACATGTGCATTTATAAATCCCAACTTGTGCCTCGAGTGCTATAGATCCTCTGAATTGCTCATTCCAGAGATTTTGTTTGTTTGCATGTATGTATGTTTTGCCTCCTCTTTTAGAATAAAATAGCTTTTAAAATTCAGCACCACAGCCAGAGTGAACTTTATGGCATAATTTTGTCATGAAGAATTTCCCCTCCAATTACTCTTCTTTCGGCTCTTTCCCACTTCCTAAAAAGCATTCTTATCATTCCTGCAGTCTATTATTGCCACTTAGTCAAAATGTGTTTTAAGAGCAAAATAAACCACTGAGCTAACGGCCCTTCCAGATTATGATTAAAGGCATGTAACTAGACACAACCCAATTAGATAAGAGGAATCCTTTTGTGTGTGCGCACACAGAGTTTAACTTCATACCATATTATACTCCTAATTATTTTCCGCAGTGTGCATGATATATTTGAGTCAGTGCTGGGGGTCATTTTTCACGATGGTTCATAAAGAATTCTGTATGCCAGACAGTAAGTGCTAACAAGCACACTACAAGCCTCTTGAACTACAGTCATCTATTGCCTTCTGTAACATGGAGGATGTTGTGTATTTTGTGTATAAGGGAACATTAGGAAATTAAAAGAAAACAAAAGCAGTGCTATTTTTCTGGAAAAAAGAGGTGCCTGAACTCACCATGAACTCACTTATGATGGAAATGGTGCCCACCTGAGAGGTGACAAAACAGAGTTCTGGTGAGTTTCAGTTGCAAAAACCCTGAACAAAAGTATTGGTTCCTAATCCCATATTATTAACCTGCCAGGAACTAGGCAGAGCGCCTTTTTGGTAGTGGCACCCACCCTGTGGAATGCCCTCTCATCAGATGTCAAGGAAATAAACAACTATTTGACTTTTAGAAGACATCTGAAGGCAGCCCTGTTTAGGGAAGTTTGTAATGTTTGATGTTTTACCATGTTTTTAATATTCTGTTAGGAGACACCCAGAGTGGCTGGGGAAACCCAGCCAGATGGGCGGGGTATAAATAAATTATCATCATCATCATTATCATCATCATTACTTTAGTTCCCCACCACACACACCTTAAGAGTTTGATGGACCCCTTAAAATTATCCTGTGGGTTTGACGTCCTATTGCTTATATATAATAGTCATGCTATCTTTAAGTATCAGGCAGCATTAGCTGGTTTCTTAAGTGAGGAATACTTCGGTTCTGTGTGCCAACAACAAAAGTAGGTAAAGCAATTGTATTCTCTCTATCTATCTGAGAAATGAAAGCATATGAGATTGGGAACAAAATAGCAAATCTATCAACAGCTCCAAATGGCGTCATTTCTGAAAATGATATGAACCTGCTGGTTTAGGGACAAAGCAATCCATCTTTCTTTGGACTGCCCAGTATCTCCACACAAATAACTGTGGCTGGTAGCAAAAGACCCTGCCACAGTTGCCTTGCCACCCCTCCTTCTATAAGCAGAGCAATGAGAGAGAAGGGGCGATAATAGCATGATTTCATCTGATTAAATTGACATTTGAAAACAAACTGCTCATAGACTTCACACTTTGGAATAGAAAGCACGAGGCAGTGTTTTCTCATGAACAGATGGGGTGCAAATCAATGTTTTCCTACACATTGGCAACCATACTTTGCTGTGGGCCGTTGTGTGAAATATGTCCCCTCCCAATTTAGTCTGCTATACACCAGTGTCCAATTGCATACCTCAGACCTATCCATTCTTAAGGAAATCAGCCCTGAGTGCTCACTGGAAGGACAGATCATGAAGCTGAGGCTCCAATACTTTGGCCACCTCATGAGAAGAGAAGACTCCCTGGAAAAGTCTCTGATGTTGGAAAAGATTGAGGGCACAAGGAGAAGGGGATGACAAAGGACGAGATGGTTGGACAGTGTTCTCGAAGCTACCAGCATGAGTTTGACCAAACTGTGGGAGGCAGTGGAAGACAGGAGTGCCTGGTGTGCTCTGGTCCATGGGGTCATGAAGCGTCGGACACGACTAAATGACTAAACAACAACAATGACTAGAGGTAAAACATTATCATGAGGAGAAGAAATGCAACAGGACATCAAGAACAAATCTCAGAATGTATATAACTTGTAAATGAATTTTTGCATATAGGATGAACTGGCATATCAAGTTATAGTAGAATATTAGTGGGGAGGAAAACCAGAAAACCACAAAAAATAATATAACTGTGGCATACAACTATATTATCTTATTTGATTTGAGATTTCTGATGGGTTTAGTGGGGCCCCTAGAGTCTGTGGGTCCTCATGCACTACATACATGCTTACCCTATATGACCACCATTCTTCCTGTCACCTTTGGTAGTCCCTGCCTACTATACATTTATGCACAATGGCTATCAACCAACTCATGTAGGGAACCCTTGCGCCAAGTTTGGTGGCAATATATTTACACATACCCCCTGCCTTTCTTCAATGATAGGCATTTTCCTAGCATAATATATCCTGCTATCAAGCTTTCCTTGGATGAAAGTTCCATAAATATAGACTGCTATTGAGTATTCTTCTACAGGTAAATTTTGAACTGGATTGCTTCTCTCATGGTGCAAACAAGTCCAGTTGGGTGAGATCTTTGGATATTGTGGAGGTGGCCATGGAATAAGGAAGATCAGGCTCTGTAATGGGGAGGGAGAAGTTTCGACACTACAGATATTAGACTATACATCCCATCATTCCTGACCACTTGGCATACTGGCTGAGGTTGATGCAAATTGGAGGTCATCAATACTGGGTGCTATATACCCCTGGTCTATAACCATTAAAAAAAACCCTCCTAATCACAAAAGCGAGTAAGAGTTATAAGCAACATTAGAACAAATATGTACCATTTTGAGAAACAAATAATCCCTTTGGGGGCAATGCATAACTAGCAGGAAGAAAATAGATTTTTTAATTATTAATTTATGGTCTTATTGCAATCTTAGGTCGCTACTGAATTACTAGAATCTAGACAAAGGGGCTCATGAAAATTCTTAACCTATGTTTGGGCAAGCAGTGATTTATGAAGCAATAACACCCCAATGGGCTTGAAAATTTCTTCTTTTTTTAAAGCCTTTGTTTCCCAGAGTCCAGGAGTACTGGCATAATAGTTGCAGGCCCCAGAAGCAGCAGAGGGCACCCTACACAGAATGCATTTAGTATAGGCCTTAAGGTAATGAAGTCATGAATGAGGGTTGACAGCTCTAAATCTGAAGGAATTGTTTTTAGTCTTCCCATCAGGTAGAGTCAGACCATTTTTAGCAGGACCAAGTCTGTAAAACTGAATTACTTAAACAATTAATTATGTGTTACCTCGATTCCTCACAGCTTTCTCAGTCTGCCAACCGACACTTCAATCTTATCTCAATCCAGCCTCGAGAATTTCACTGCCATCCACTTGTCGAAATAAGCATTGAACCTGACTTTTCGCGGGTGGAAAAGAGAAACAGAACCGACCTCAAACACGTGGTCTTGCCCAGCAACCTTTTATGCATGCAAAACAAGCAGTGGGAAAGGCTGGAAGCCTGTAGAGATGAGAGTTCAATGGAGAAATTCAAAAAGAGACAATGGGCAACCTGTAGCCAAGAATGGAGAGTACTGTAATAACAAACTGCAGAGGGAAATTATTGCCATGCAATGTGTCCTAAACAACATGTCTCACAAAGCTTTCCATTATGGATCAGATATCACACCAGTGACCATATTTTGTTTGAATGCTATCAAAGGTATTGGAAAGATGTTTCTGGAAGCTGAATGTATAATTGTTTTTTGTTTTTTAGGGGGCAAACTCTGCATAATTTTTCGTTAAAAGCTTATATGTGTGTTTTTGGCAACAGATATGTGTTGGAAAGTAAAGTGAATTGCACTGTTTGGATGGTTTTATAATCAGATCCATATCTGTTAAGTTGGGGGTGAACATATCAGACGACACAGCCATTCTTCAAACAGCTGTTGTTTATTCAGAGGCCAGAACAGAACTGAACTGAAGGGTTCAGCCATCCTGCTTATATAGAGCTCCAGGACAACGCAACTGTAACAACTTTCTGTAACTATCCAATCACTGAACGTCACTTTCGATCCCTTATTTGCATATATGGACCTGAACTATCTACAGTATCCCCCTGCTGGCCCAGGGTGAGAACTTCAGTATATAACAATATCCACTCTTTTCTGATCCCAGTTTAGGGAAGCTTTTTACCCTTGTGGCTTCTAGGGCACCACAGGATAGCAATCCATAGATTGCTAAGGTATTCTAAGGCAGTGGTTTTCAACCAGTGTCCCGTAGCACCCTGGGGTGCCTTGAGTATCAGACCTTTCTCCACAATATCTCCTGCTACCCTATTTGCAACTCCAGCTTTCACTCACAACATATGTTAAGATCTTGATAACAGTATATACAGCATGGATTAAATTGCATTTCCCCGTCATAATGGTCTTTGCCATCTCTTGGCTTCCTCAAACTAGGTTTCTCTCCCTCTGGAGTCACTCGTGGCCAAATGGCATATTTTTGCTTGAACGCATGCCAACAGGTTGGAGAAGGCACCTTCTTGCGTGTCTAGTGTTTCCTTCCTGGACAGCTATTTTAAAATTATCCTGTGCTGCAAAAACTGCAGGCCCCATCTAAACAGGAAAAGTAAAAGTCACATATTTTCCTGGTGGTTCTTCCTTCTTCCTTCAGTTGATTACAGCCTCTAATTAATCAATTGAATAGGTAAACAACTGAGAAGTTCAAATAATTTAAGCAGTTGCCACTTCAGGATAAATAAGTCCTGATTTTCTGTAGAATAGTACACATATTTAAAGCTGATCCTCAGTGGACTATAATGAGTTCTTAAAATCTATTGCTTTTAACCAGAATTGTCCTAATGCCTATGCTTTAGGTGTTTACTTTTTGTGTTGCTTTTTACCCTAGGCCCTGATTTATTTAGAAGGAGAAAGAATAGTTTCTAGTCCCTTGAACTTTTAGACATGTCAAGATAGTTACTCCAAGATATCGCCAGTGAGGCTATATATTGTTTTCAATTTGCAATTTCTGCTATCATTTAGTTCTCTGCAAGGAGCAGAAGGTTTGGGAATTGATTCAGCTCCAATGTAGCATCAGAGTAATAAACATTCGGAAAGCATTTCCATTTGTTTTAAAAGCACATTTTGCTGTAACTTTCCTTAAAGTAATGGAAAGATAAACAAAGACACATTTGCTTTGCTGGGGATTGCTTTTCCAGAAGTGAATTCTTATGCACAATGTTGCTCTTAAACTTTTTTCTGTTTAAAATACACATTTTTTTTTAAGTTTATAGAGCAGCAATGCCCTATTAAAAAGGTTCAGACTGGTTTTGAAAAAATAGTACCATTCTGTATTTTTAAAGCATTAAAATATTCTACAATGTAATTCTTATTCCAGTTATCACAATATTTTCTCCCATATAACAGAATCATTTCTGAGGTTATTTTAATGCAAATATCATATAACCTATGCTTATGTTCTCTATGTTTATGGCATATTTATTCACCACAAACCAACAAAAATGAGCCCCAGTAAACAGGCATTGTAAAATTAGTATTTTGGGTGCATATTTCAATTAAAGGTGGCTATACCACCCTCATCAACCTTGTAACTATAAATATTAGCTAATCCCTTACCCAACAGTATCTTTCCCCCATTAACCCCACCAGCATTTTCACTAGAGGCTTTCACCACCCCTTCCCATCCCAATAAAATATTCCAAGCAAACTGAACAGTATACAAATCGGGTCCTCCCTTAAAGAGGGCATGTGTTGCGGTGAGACCTGGCAACCAAACCCTATGTTGTGGGTGGGTACGTTTGGGTAGCCACAACACCCAATTGGTAGGTCCCTTGATGCAGGGTTTAATCAAGCCAATGGGATGCAGGCTAAGCGGATCAAGGGACCTATATATACCTATGCATGTGACCCAGAGCTTCCTCTTTCAGCTCGTGCATTCAGAACACCCGCCCACCTCTCCCTATTTTTAGGGCTTGTGCGCTTGACCTTGCTATGCCGTTGTGTGTCGTCTGTCATTGGGACAGGGGCATGGCAGGAATTTTCCCCACTTGGCTGATTGGCTGTTGCCATTTGGGTTTCGCCTGCCGTGTAGCAAATCGTCACAACTTTTAAGGTTGCGGATAGGCTCTGGTTCAGGTGATAGGGATGGGGGAATGGTCTCGCCATCCCTATGTGAAGGGTATTCCATTAAAGGAATCCAGGGACTTGATGGTTTGGTCAACCCCTGTGAGGGGGTTGTGCTCGTGCCTGAGTCCAGGGGGGCATTTGGGTGGCAGACATAGCCTGTTTCCAGCTTTCCACTTATCCAGGTGTTCACCCTAGGCTGACCTATGCTGGTGCCCTGGGTCAGCGCTACCTGCAACAGTGCAGGGAGCTAGTCAAACCAGAGCCTATGCAACCACTCACTTGCTGTAATCAATAAAACCGTGGCCTAAATTCTGCCAAAAACCAAACCAAAATTTGAGTCTTGTCTGAATTTATTTAAGGGGGAGGTTTAAAAGTCTGAACACGCAAATGCTTAATATCTAAACAAGCAAAGAAGCATGTCATACCAGCAGTTTGCCCAGATGGTACTTAGCAGAGTAACAAAATCAAAAGGCTGGTGGCTGTTCTGATTGGCTAACATTTTAAATGTAGACATGAGAAGGGAGATGAGGCATTCCTGGAATATTCAGTGCAAGCTTATTCATTTGTCTTCAGAAGTAAAGCTGTGTACACATTGTTGGGCACTCCCTTAGGTTGTGTCTGAAGTTGAGCACACATGGTGTTAGCCACAGTTCACCTGTACCCGGTAGTTTCTTGAGAAAACTCTTCTTAGCTTCCATCTAATCTGAAAATGAAGGAAGAAAGCCTAAGCAGGATATACCGTGTACCCCAAGATATACCCCAAGCCTGAGTAGAAAGCCTGCCTGAGTAGAAAGCCTGCAGTTGAGCCTGCAAACTCATAATGGGTGAACTATTCAACTATTCAAAGAAAGGTTGCCATGACCCAGCTGGACACTGTAAGAGTTGGCAGCCTTAGGGAGTAAGGAAGTATTATTATCTAAGGCACAGTTGAAACTTGTTTGAAGATCATAAGCTGCAGGGAGGAACCGGTGGGGTGGAATTCATGTAATCTTATGTTTGTGTGCAAAACGGTATATCTTGCTTTCATCAGGACAGTTGTTGTGATGCCCATTCTGCTTGCCAAATAGCCTATCTTGCTTTGAAGTGCTCTTATCAGGGCAGCTGAATGTCATGGCTCACTTGCAAAAATAGTAGATCCTGTCGGTATCATGTCAATTTCTTGGCTTGCAATATGTCCTGTCTCATACATCATGTCAACTTCTTGACTTGCAATGTGTCCTGTTTCATACGTCATGTAAACTTGCCTACTGAATACTATATTAGCCTGCTCTGAAATGAGTTCAGGGCTTCAGTCTTTTGGGACTGTGGCCTAGCTGCACAGCTACAATAAAGACGTTTCCTCGAACAACCCGGGTCTGTCTATTGACTAAGAAAACTTGCAACGAAAACACAAGCCACTGTTAACACAAGATGTGTACATTTCAGACATTTCAGGCTGTGCACATATGACAGCTTAATCCAGGCTTCCTCAAACTCAGCCCTCCAGATGTTTTTGACCTACAACTCCCATGATCCCTAGCTAGCAGGACCAGTGGTCAGGGATGATGGGAATTCTAGTATCAAAACATCTGGAGGGCATGCAGCTGCTGGGTAACCTTGGGCTAGTCACACTTCTTTGAAGTCTCTCAGCCCCGCTCACCTCACAGAGTGTTTGTTGTGGGGGAGGAAGGGAAAGGAGAATGTTAGCCGCTTTGAGACTCCTTCAGGTAGTGATAAAGCGGGATATAAAATCCAAACTCTTCCACCGTTCGGATTACGTTCTTAGACCAAGGTAAAGTTTGCAAATTGGGGCACTACTTCCAGTTTTGCGGAGTTCATAAACTGAATAGTTAGTAAACAGGGCTGTTCTTAAACTGAGGTACCACTGTATGTTTATTTAAAACAAACTTTTTGAAAAGTTCCTCAAATTGCTGAATAAATGTGGAGAACTGAATATAAGATAGGAAAAATGAAAAGCTGAGAGAAGTAAAATGGTCAGATTCTTCTGTTCCTAGCTAGTGACTGGGGTGGAGTTACACATTTGAATGCTCTGCCATATTTTATATATATATATATTTTTTTAAAAAAAATCCCAACATATAGTAAGCTATAATGACAGTGACAACAGTTCAACCTGAGACTGCTCCTGGCCTCTCCTTAACATGCAATCTTAATCCAGACGCCAGACCATTATGTTCCTAATGGCATAAAAGGGAGGCATCACCTCCAAAGTATTCCCATGGGGAGATTAGTTCTCACATTTCCTAGCATCCCCAGTTGTACAGTGGGCATTCAGCAATGCCCAGTTCTAATTTCCCATTTCACTGCCACAAACTGAGCGTTTCTGGCCACAAAGCGACAGGTGGCATTAGGAAGACAAAGGATGGCAAAGATATGGTCTCCTTGTTGACCATTGCTCATGTTGGCTAGGACCGATGGGAGTTGGAGTCCAACATCTCTGGATAGCTTGGTCAATAGAGCAGGAGACTCTGAATCTCAGGGTCATGAATTTGAGCCCCACACTGGGCAAAAGATTTCTATATTGCAGGGGGTTGAACTAGATGATTCTTGTGATCCCTCCCAACTCTCCAATTCTATGATTCTATGAATGTATGAAGGCCTACTGATTCCCCCACTTTCTGGTATACCCAATTTGTGGTATTAAAGCTGTCTAAAGATTCCAGTCCTTGATATATGGTGAAGATACCTCCATTCACAATGCCTCAGGAACTCTAAGGACTCAGTCCAAATCCATATGACTAGTGTGAAAAGTGTGAAAGAAATCAACAAAGAAAGACCCTCTACTACATTCAGGTGAAAATGTTGATTTGGGTTGGAGTTTGCTAGCAACCCTGATTCCTTCCCACATAAATTACTTACACGAGGAGCTGGAACAGTTGGGACTCAGTTTGTATTAACAGAAATGTAGCATCTGTACACGAAGAAAGCACTCTTCCCAACACCTTTATATAAGCTGTGTTTGTCATGCTGCAAGCATGCAGGTTATTACTAAACTTAATCATCCTGAAAGCATTTCTTTCAGAAAAGGATTCCTCAGCCAACATTTATTTGTAATGCATAAAAATAGAAATAACCTCTGCTGCTGCAAGAATCTTGGTTGACTCCTCATAACAAAAATGCACAGGGCCCACTTAAATATAGCAAGAATCAATATTGCTTGACATGAGATACGAAGGTCGCAAAAAGGAAATAATCATCCAAATTCCCTCTCCACGCATAGATAAAACTGAGAGGGAGACAAGTTTCTTCCCCATTTTATTTTATTATAAATAATTAGGGTTCTTTTCAAATAAGCCATATTCAAAGGAGACCCACTGAAATCCACAAACTATGAAGAAAATCTTAACATTTGAAATGGGCAGCATTTTTTATTTGTTCAAAAGTAGACACAAGCATTTATTTGAAATATGAAAGTATCTTTTTTCCAAAGGTGTTTGTCACTGCCAGAAACATCATAGAATCATAGAATGGTAGTGTTGGAAGGGACTGCAAGAGTAATCTAGTCCAACCACCTGCAATGCAGATTTTTATTTTTATTTTTTTGCTCTATTTAGGGCTCAAACTCACAATGCCAAATTAAGAGTCTCATGCTCTACCAACTGAACTAAAGGCATTTTCGTTTTTAAGATAATAAACCCTGGAATGATTTGTACTGGAAAAGTGTGTAGACTTTAAGTATTGTCACTGAATTTCACTTACAATAAGGGGGGGGGGGGAACGATGACCCCAAAGAATAATCTAATATTGCAGAATGGCTTGAAATATCAAATAAAATAAATAATCATTATAAGGTTATGTCCCTTTCTTAATGTGCTATAACTGTAGGTATGCTTGGAGTGAGTTTGTTTCCGCCTTTTTCTTTCATCCCCACTGTTGTGGTTGCTGTTGTTTGCAAATGCATTAACTTAAGAGCAGAGTTATAACTGGGGCAGAGGGGGATGAGGAGTGGTGTATCTGCAGCCCTGATAGCTTGTGATGACCAGGGCAGAGGAGAGCGGCTTTTTTGCCTCAGCATTCCACAGAAGGAAAGTGGCTGCCAGAACTGAAGTAAATGAACATTTGGCCACTATTATTGTTATGGTTATGCATAACTTTCAAGCTTTAGAAACTGCCCTAATTGTAGTATATATCTCAAGGTGATTTTGGGTAATACCCACCACCTGAAAAGTTGTATCCTCCATCACGGAGGGCACGTGTTGGTGAGATCACCAGAAACTGGCTCCCTTTTGTGGGGTGGGACCGTTTGGATTGCCTCAACGCCCTCTGTTGCTGGGGCAGAAATGTGCCTGGTTGGGATGGCTATTGGCTTCCTATGGGCTTTTAAGCTGCTGCACATCGCTGGAGAGTTTCTCTTTCTTGTGACGTGCAGTGGATCTCCCACCCTCCTCTCCCTATATTTAGGGTTGTTCTATTGGCCTTGCTATGCCTGTCTAGGGGTTGTCTGTTTTGGAGCAGGGGCCCGGTAGGAATTTTGCCATTTGGCTGATTGGCTGGTGCCACTTGGTTTTTGCCTATCATGTAGCAAATCATCACAACTTTGTAAGGTTAGCAGTTAGGCATTTGGTTCAATGTTTTGGGGAGGGGATGTGGTTGGCTGTGCCTGCCCCTCCATTGCTGCTGCTAGGGAATTCCGTTAAAGGAATCCAGGGGCTCACCTTGCTTTTGTCCGAACCCTGTCAAGGGGCTAGGGCCATGCCAGAGCCCCTGGAGCATCTGGGGTGAGCTGTGAGGTCTAAGGAGTTCTCACTCCCGCAGGATGCTTTCCCTTACTGACATATGGTGGTGCCCAGTGTCAGTCCTGTTCCTGTTGTCGTGCAGATTCAGGTAGTCTGGAACCAATGCCTAAGCAACCACTCACATGCTGTAATCAGTAAAGTTGTGGCCAAATTTATGCCAAAAACCTTAAACAAAATCTGTGTCTGTTGTGTTTTTATTTTGAGGGTGGTTTGGGGGGGTCTTCACACGCAAAAACACAAAACTATGAAGAAGCAAGGAGTGCTTCACCTTTCCTTCTTTTGCTAAAGCCCATGTGGAGTTAAATTCTTATCTAGGCACACTCCCCAAAGACATGAGGACTTATAAAATAAATGTAGAATGAATAGCTCATTCCCTTAGATCAGGCATAGGCAACCTCAGCCCTCCAGATGTTTTGGGACTACAATTCCCATCATCCCTGACCACTGGTCCTGTTAGCTAGGGATCATGGGAGTTGTAGTCCCAAAACATCTGGAGGGCCAAGGTTGCCCATGCCTGCCTTAGATAAAAACTGGTAGTGATTGATAAGAGAACAAAAATGACGAATGCTTCTTTGCTAGACACTTCCAGTTGGAAGAATCACTAATTACACAGTATAACTTGATCATTTAACCTCCTCTCCCTACTCCAGCTGTTAGAGAGCTAGGATTTGCCCCAAGGTTGTTTCAAGGCTTTCCCGTAGACAATAGTTCATTAGCAGAGAGGAGTTTAAAAAGCCTTCAGATTTTACAGCTGTAGACAGCAACAGCAACGGATCCATTATATGCATGAGAATTTCTAAGGAACTGTAATAATAGCAACAACAATAACATGCTGGGAATTTCTCGTCATTCCTGCAGCAGAAAGCATGATGATTCCATTAAGTAACGCATGGCACCATTTTTGAACCAGTTAAGGCATCCCCTTCTGTGAAACATTTTCAAGTCAGCTTTTATAACATTATTTTGATTTTCTCATTGGTGACAGTGAACCTCTCTTGCTCCCTTTGAGGACTCACTTCATATCAGTTTCTACCCATTCTTAGGGAGACATAATGAGGAACACAAATATTCCCCTGTCATTGGCTCATTCACAGAATACATTTTAAACTACCAAAACAAAGCCAGCCAAGGGCAGCTAAATTTAGCCTGTCAATGAAAGCAACACTATTTGCACTACATTTTTGAATGTGGGGATCTTATAGTGAAATACTGAAATGCACCATTGAATGTTCTGTTTTCTCAATCTTCAATTAGTTGTGTAGTAGGTGTAGACAAGGGGACCTGCCGCAGAGTCTCAATGTTCCATCACTCCCTAACAGAAGAGATTAGGGTACCAGTCAGGTTAAACAGAAAAGCCTCCCCCACCCATTTTTTCATTAGTCTTTTCCAACTGACACAACTACTAAGCATGCTTAGTTGGGGACTCCTTAAAGTTGCGGGTTTTTTAATTGCATTTTTAGAAGCTTTAGAGATTTTTTTTTCCAGGGAGGCTGAAATTAGGTCATTTCTCAGTGACCTGATTTTGCATCTAGTCCTATTGGCACTTCACATTTAGAGGGAGTGACAACTGGAAGCCATATAACCATATTGCTTGGACTGATGAAAATTATGCAATGCTCCCCCAAGCTCCTTGGTTCTTCTTATTTCCCTCCCTCTGCTCATTGCTCCATTTTGGGACTCACTTCTTTACTCCCCCAACTCCCATTTTGCACATCTGCCCCCCTTCTCATTACTTGCCATTCCCTCTCCCTACCTGTGCTTCTGTCTCCTCCATGTCTCATTTGCTCATTTACCACCCAAATGACAGTTCTGAAATACCAGTAACTTCAACTTAAAGAAAATTTAAATGGAAAAACCAAATAGCAAGGATTTGGTAGTTACAAAGGCCTGGCTGCTCTGAAATCCCAATGCGAATAAATACAGTGAAACATCTTCTAACACAAATAGTAGATTTTGTAGCATGTTTCTATACCTTCTCTTTTAATTTATTCCATCATTGGGTTTTGTGCATTTCCTTGGGCAAACTCCATGAAGTCTGAGTACAGAGACTTATAATTTGATAGTCTCTGTCCGCATGATGTGTTTTCCAAAGCTCTGGTGTGCAGAGTGTGATCAGTCAACATGTTTTCTGGAGCATCTCTATGGCAAATGTTATCTTTGCTCCATCCTCAAGTTGCTACTGAATAATTTACATCCAGCTGAGAGTGAGAAAGAGAGAGAGAGAGAAGACAATTGCAAATTTAGGCTATGAAATCATTAAACTTGGGCAGAACCCAACAGTCATTTTTACTCCTTATGCAACTGAAGCCTAATGAACTAAATGGAAATTTGAAGTACAGAGTCCTGCTTTATGGAATATTGAATTGAATAAGAGAAGACCTCTCAGGATCACTCACAAGTGCAGAGTTTATCTTCTGCTGACTATAGTAGGTTGTCATATTTTAAAAGCACAAACTTAGTGATAAGTTTTTATGCTGACGTGCTTACTTTTATTTATTATTTGTATTCCTGCTCGGCAGTCTCTGAGATCTTCAGGCGTTTCAGTCGAATGTGTTTTAGCAAGCATTGGTCTATTGCCCTGCAGGCAATTAATTAGCAATCAGATAGAAGCCTCCCAGCCTGGTAAGTATATTGCTACATAGTTAGTTTATTGATTCTTATACCATATTAGATTTTATAGCTCACCTTACAAAACTCCAGTGAGACGACATAGTGGCGCAACATTAATCACTGACAAGTCTTGCAACTTCTCAATAAAGAAAGATTTCTTTAGTGATGAACATTGGTTGTTGGGCGACTACCTCCTGCCAATCTCAAAAAGGAGGGATGGAAGAAAGACAAAGAGCACCTCTCTGAAGTCTTAAAAAAAATATTTATTGTAAAAAAAATACACTGCAGATGGATTTCAAAACCATTCTCTACAATTGCGAATCTGCTCAATCTGCCGCTTCCGAAGTATTATGGGTCATGTCTGTGGGTTGTATGTAACCGAAAAGATGAGCCCCAACCCCTTATTTTCAAGAATAATAATGCCACCTACTGTGAAGTTATTGGCGTAAATGTAAAGTTAAATGCAATGAATTGCTGTGCTGCTTGCAAAAACTTTCCCTGCCCATTGAGGAAAGTACTGTAATTCAATATGCCACAACATTAGGTGGAGAGTTCTTCGGATAGGAACACCATGTTTTTGGAAGCATAAAAATGATTGGCATTGGGCCAGTGAAAACAAGTAAAAAATATTGTAAAGCAATAATTGGTTGAGAATGGGACATTGCTCACTCTCCCTTATAACACTGAGGCAGAACCTAGGATAACCAAATGAAAATGAATAGTGGTAGATCCACAACAGACATAAGAAAGTATTCCTTCACACAATGCCTAATTAGGTGATGGAATTCATTGAATTATGAGGTCACGGGATGCCTAATTTAAGGGGCAATCCCGTGGCAAGATCTGTCTTAGAATGTAACAGGTGTCTAATGCAGTTAACTGATTCCTGGCTCAACTGAGGTCAGCTGATCCACCATAAATATGCTGGCAAAATTTGCTCAGCTAGGGCTCAGTTGAAGCTGGCTGAGTCAGTGCCAGTGTAAGTTCCCAAAAGGGAGCATTCTGGGGGCATGGCAAGTGCCAGGGCCAGGGGGTCATGTGACCTGAAACCTTGTTGTAAACTACTATTTTAAAAGCTTGTTTTCCCTCTGCCAGGCTTAGGCAGAGCAGCCACCACTGCCCTGCTGCTGAATGGGGTTTGAATCTGGTGTAAATTTATGCTGCCTCAACTTACACTGGCTTGCTTTATCCCACCTTCTTGTGCAAAGGATTGCTCCTTATGTTATTGAACTCATTGCCATAGGATGTGATTAGGACAACTGGCCTACATAGCTTAAAAAAAAGATGACACACAGTCATAAACAATTATTAACGATAAAGCAAAATGGAACCATCAAATTTACTGGTTTCAGGTGTCTCAGAGGCCAAAATTTCTACAAAGGGCATTCTGAGTTCCATTACAAGTGCCGGGAAAGAAAACATTCATTTTCATTTCATGTACATCCTTTTCTGCTTTTCAAAGTTTCAAATCTATTATAGTTATTCACATTTTATTAAATATAGTCCTAGCCCTTCCTTACAAACAACAACAAACCTATCTGGCCTTGTGCCATTAAATCCTTAACAAACAAACATTGCTACTTGTTTGTTAAAATTTGCCCCTAATGTTCTGGTGGAAGAAGCATTTTACTGCCATCAGACTATTTCACATTTCATTAAACGTGATTTTTTTTTTTTTTTTAGTGAGTAGTCCAATCAAGAATGTAACTAAAATGTTGAAGAAGCAGGTGACATCCTGTAAAATGTTAGACAATCATTCCACATTGCCATCTGTATGCATTTAATCAGCATTCCTAAGAGGTTTTTAGAATGCAAATCTGTTGCAAATGTATCGCAGCAGTGATGACTTTATAGAGCATAGCAACTCCCAAGGAGCATAACTGACATCAGTGGAGCCCATTGCTCTTAGAGAGGCACCAAAAAACTAAACAAAGAAAAAGTTTATTGCAGATGCCTAGCAGGGAACCACATGTAGGTATTTACAGGTTCTGGAACATGAGGTTTATTGCATACCCTGTTAACTTGGTTCCCTCATTACTTGAATGCTGCTTAAAGCGAAGAGATCTATCCTTGATTTATTGCCTTGTTTGTCTTTGGTCTACTTACACTTGAGCCTAACCGAGCACAGGAAGTGATGGAGATAATCTAAGGGCTGTTTGAGACCCTCCAAGTGTCCCTATTTTCTAGAGACAGTTCCAGATTTACAGAAGCCACCTCATTTTCTGATTTGATCCTGAATGTTCCGTTTTTCCTTAGGATGTCCCTATTGTCATTGGAAAAATGTTGGAGGGTATGGAGTTATGTGACCCCCCCCCCTCCCGCCAAGGAGATAAGCAACCACACACCATTTAGAAGATGTCTGAAGGCAGCCCTGTGTAGGGAAGTTTCTTTCAATGTTTAGTGTTTTATTATGTTTTTATATATGTTGAAAGCTATCCCTATTTCATCAGATAAATGTTAAGGAGTATGCTTTTAGGTGTTCCACGGCTAACAACAGTTTTATTTCATGCCAGAGGATCCATTTGAGGAAAAAGAAAATACGAAGTGCCTCTGGCCATGTCTGGAATTATTTCCCATGCTAGGCAAAAAAGTGAGGACAATCAACAAATATAGCGGGGAGGAGAATCATGCTCACTCGATTACGCTAATCCAGTTTTTGTTTTGTTTTTCAAAAACCCCTTTGACTCAAGTGTTTCCTTAGGTCTGGAATGGGTAACCTGCAGCTCTCTGGATATTTTTGGACTGCAACTCTCATCAGTTCTGACTATTGGCCATAGTTGCCATCTCCCTAGGGCCCTGGGTGCCCAAACACCCACAAAATTCCTCATGAAGGGGCAGGGCACCCACAAATTTCACTGCCAGGGCACCCATGGCCCCAGACACCCATGATCAAGAGGCCAAGTTGGGACTCCTGGCATTGGCTACGTTGGCTTTGGGCTAATGAAATCCCGTAACATCTGAAGGGTTTCTTACACCCTGATTTAGTTTCTTCCTGAATCCCCCACCCTAACCCTTTAAATCCACTTCAAATGAAATTGGATGGCAAATTAGTCCATGAAGAGAAAATGGCATAGAAAGAGCTTCAAAAAGAAGTAAGGGGCACATTTGACATGGTGTTAATTGTGTGAGCATGAAGAACGCAGGTCAGCAATCAAATCGGAACATGGTGCCGGTGAAGTTAATCCTCTATTCAAGAAACCCAAACAGTGCAGGTCTAATGATCCCAGCAGCTCTTCCCAGTAGGTCTTTCTCCAAAAAGGCAGTTGCGAGGACTGAAGGATCTTGCCACCACTTAAAGGCTCCTCATCTCAGGGGTTTTTCCCAAGCAGTCGCAAACTGCACCTGCAGTTTGCACTGTTCTGCACTGTTCACTTCTCTGCATGGAGACCAGTGGGGAGGGAAGCTGGTTGCAGCAGGCGGGAGAGACTCCCTGGCTTCTTCAGCAATCTGCCTCTCTGCTTCCTGGCCTCACTCTCCTCCAGCCTCTGCTTCTGCCTCTGAGTCTGAACTGCCCTCTGCCACAGCCTCTTCTTGCTCACCAAATCCTGTTACCTCCTCTGCTTCTGACACCGCCTCCTCTCAGTCTGCTCTTTCTTCTCTTTTTGACCACTCATTGTCATCCCACCACCAATCCCCTGGCTCTGAGCCTTCTTCCTCTTGGAGATTCCCCAGCTGGTGCCTCTCACCACCCTTCTGCATCCAACCAATCCATAACACAGTCTGAAGCTCAGGGGCGCTGACCTGCCCCCCACATGAGGGGGTCCAACATGTGCCAGGCAGAGGCGTGGGTGCAGGAGGGTGATCTTCATCCTTGTTCATCCCAGCTCCCACCCAGCTCCTGGGCTCCCAGGCTAGCAGGAGGTGTGGGCACAGTAGGGCAATCTTCACCCTCACTCGTCCCAGCTCTCACCTGGCTCTTGGACTCTCAGGCTGCCAGGTGGAAGCTCGGGCACATGAGGGTGATCTTTGGCCTCACTCGTCCCAGCCCCCACCCAGCCCCTGGGCTCCCGGGCGGAAGCTATGGCATCCAGAGGGCACCCAGCAGCACCAGCGGGGAATGTTGCCCCCCTCAATATTTGGGGGCTCAGCACCCTGCCCAAAAATATTGAGGGGGCCGAAGACCCTTTCATCCCCTGGAGCTGGAACCATGGTTGGGCCTGGATGAAATAATGGCAGCTGGACTGGGTCAAGATCCAGTGGGTTCTGGTCCAGTTCACCTCCTCACTATTTTGGGGTTTTCCATGGGCTACGGCCAATAGGATTGCACCAACAACATTTCTGCCTGCCTGTTTGATGGGGAAAACAGGGACCGGTAGAGTGATGCTGGCACGGCTGGGTGGAGGATCAACTCCGCTTAATCCACATCCATCCCATCCTAGTGCAAAGAGGGTTTGTGTTG